CTCTGAGATCTCCACCCACTGTGTAGTCTCGAGCTCAGAGTGTCATGAACGCGCGCCACTCTCTTCTAAGACCACTGTTTTCTGAAAAAGGATTTATATTTTTTTATGATCTCAAGTTAACTTCATACTTGATGTTAACACATCAAGTTACTTAATGTGGTTCTTTAAGAAAATGTAGGAAAGCTAAAAACTTAGGGAAAAAGTTAAAATTAATCCAGATATAATAGCAGTTAAGTATTTTAATTTTTTTTTAAATATTTATTTATTATGTATACAATATCCTGTCTGTATGCCTGAAGGCCAGAAGAGGGCGCCAGACCTCTTTACAGATGGTTGTGAGCCACCATGTGGTTGCCGGGAATTGAACTCAGGACCTTTGGAAGAGCAGGCAATGCTCTTAACCACTGAGCCATCTCTCCAGCCCCAAGTATTTTAATTTTTTCAAACCTTAGTTTTTACATTTAATTATACTGTGGATTTCTTCTGACTAGTCTTATTGTAAACAGATTATTATCGATGTTTGTAGAATATCTGTTGTCATCATATAGAGGACTTATATCAACATAGTTTAATCTCTACTAAGAGGTATGGAAAGAGGTCTAGGCTGGGTTGCACCCAGGAGGTAGAGGCAGGCAGATCTTTGTGAGTTTGAGTCCAGTTTGGTCTACAAGAAACTACACTGGGAAACCCCATCTCGAAAAACCATAAAAAAATAAAAATAAAAAAAAGTGAGAGAGAGGGAGAGAGAAAGAGAGATCAATAAAGTTACTACTAGCCCAGGAATATGTCAACTAGTAAATAGTAAAATCTAGAATCAAGCTTAGGTCTTCCAACAATGTGTCCAGATGCCTATGTCACTGTATTGCAGCTGATGAATTTGTACTATGAGTTATCATTTTAATCCCTACCTAAGTTGACAATATTGTTACAGATATAAGCCTTCCAAAGTCGGCAGCCATCTGCTACACAGCAGCACTGTTGAAAACAAGGACTGTTTCAGATAAGTAAGTACTTTTGAAACCACAATCATTTGGAAAGACTGCTGAACATTTAATAAGGGTTTTTCCTCTACTGACTTTTAAACAATGCGCTTTCTCCTCTCTATTTCCTCCTGAATAACCCTTACTCTTTTGTGACTGAGGTTTCTCACTGCATGTGGTTTGATGACAGAGCTATTTAGAGTTAAGTAAGCTAGTACTCAAACTACCATACAGTAGATGTAGCTGGGCAAGTTGTTACTTTGAGAGTAGTATGGCTGGGGGGTGGCTGGAGAAATGGCTCAGCAGTTAAGAGCACTGACTGCTCTTTAGAAGACCTGGGTTCAATTCCCAGCACCCGTATGGCGCTCACGACGATCTGTGATTCCAGTTCAGGGAACCACACACACAGACACACATTCAGTCAAAATACAAATGCACATGGAAATAAAATTATAAAAAAGGAAATAATATTGTAGGGTGATTGTATGAGGATGATATGTGTCAAGTTACTACAGCAGGTTCAAGAAAGAGCTTATACCTGCAACACCAGCCTTTGGAAGGAGGAACAGTAGTTAAAGCTAGCCTTGGCTACATAACAAGCTAAAGGCCATCCTGGTGTATATATGTCTCAAAAAAAAAAAAGTACACCTTTAATGTGGTAACAGTGATTCTGTTAACAAGGTATAGGTAGATGAGCTAGCTTCATCTTACCTTCCACTGAAGTCACTCTCCCTTCCTTTGGCTCTCCTTAGTTCTCCTTATTTGGCAGTTGAGATAGTCAAAATCTGGACAGGTCCAGTGATGAGACCCTATCTCAATAAAAAAAAATATTATTTAATTGAAAGTCAGAGACCAACCAAATAGTGCTCATCAAGAGTAGTATATCTTGATATAAATTGGAATAAAATATTCACAGTTTCTTGTCACCTAAAAATTTTATAAAAGTCTGGATTGTGTTTGCTAGATTTTCTGAGTTCCCCAGTGGCATTTCTTACTGTAGCCACCCTTCTCAGAGTGGGCTCAATGAACCTCTCCAAAGGCTCTTTGACTTCAGGCTGAGATTTTCATTCTTTCTGTGGCTTGGTGCACACTGTTGAGCCAGAGGCTTTACTTTCATTTTTATTGGTTGTATGGTTTTGCCTTTGGTCATTGCCAGAAACATCTTTGATTTGAGGAATATATTGTAATCTGAATCCATGTTTATCATTCCCAATAGACTTTGTACATGTAGTTTGTTCATTTCTTCGTCCTGTGGTTTTCTTTACAGATTCTCTCCAGAAACAGCATCCAGAAGAGGGTTAAGCACAGCAGAAATTAATGCTGTGGAAGCAATTCATAGAGCTGTGGAGTTTAATCCCCATGTTCCCAAAGTAAGAAATTTTAGAACAGAAATATTACTTTTATTTAAATTTAACAAATTTATGACAATAAACCAAAATGTATGGTTTATCATACATTAGATCAGAATTGTTTAGTCTGCTCTGTTTGCCATTCGTCTTGAAAGGGATGCTAATAAGGCATTTAGAAACTGTTCAAGGTCAGGGATGTAGTTCTGTTAGCAGTGCTTATGTTGCATACATGAAGCCCTGACTTTAATATGTAGTGCTGCAGAAACCACGCCTGGTGGTGGCTCATGCTTGGAATCCTAGAATTTGGAATGTCGAGGCAAAAGGATCAGAAGTTCAAGGTCTCTCTCTGTCTCTGTCTCTCTCTCTCTCTCTCTCTCTCTCTTTCTCTCTCTCTCTCTCTCTCTCTCTCTCTC